TGAGGATATTTTTATAAAAATTTTGAACTCCTCAGTGGAAAAACTTAAGGTTAATAATAGTTTCAAAAGAGAAGACAACAACACACAGACCTGTAATTTTCCCCATAATCTGCATTTGTCACATCCAACACAGTCCATTATACGGGAGATATTCTTGAAATGTAATCGGAATTCCTCCTAGCATGCAGAAAATAATTTCAGTGTAATTAGACTTTTAAAATTAAATTGCATTTAGCTGGACTATAAGAAAAGTTTTTGAAGTTTATTAATGAGTTGTGTTTTTCAACACTGAAGAAAAATATTTGAATTTGTGTAGCATAACATAGCACATAAAACAACTGATGTTAATAAAATTCATTCTATATGTTACTTCAACAAACTTTTTACTAAGGGGTTACTTTATGCAAAACACCAAAATGTGCACTATGGGAGACACAAAAGTAAATAATACATGGTCTTTACTTTTAAGGAACTTAACTGCTACTTCCATTTGATATCTACATACAACCAATAAAGCTAGTCTTAGAATAATGATCAATTTTATTATCACTTAGTACTATACTATGTCAAGGTTGCTCAATTAACATCAGTGATGACAGGCCTCTGCGAAGTGTATGGTCCCACAGTCTCCCATGTTTGCTAATGCAGATTCTACAGATACTTTACCAGATCCCTGTATTTTGTGGAAGTAGTTTCCTACATAGGAGAAACTTTTCTGCTGTAAGCATGTGTGTGTGATATGCCTCTAAGATTAGTCTCACCTTATCTGAGGAACATTGGTTAAGAGAAACTTTCCTCATCCGTTTCACATGGCAACCGTGGAAAGCAGAAACTACTTTATTACACTGAGGGAAATATTTTACTGCATGAAGCTGGAGGCAAGTATCCTGAAAACTCTGACCACCACAAAGCCCTGCCCAGCTGCCCAAAGGATTGAAAGGAATCAATACCTTGGCAAAAGAAAGATAATATGAGTAGAACACAAAAACTCCTTTGCTGGCCATGCTCATGTAATGCATGTTCTTTGGAGCAGATGGAAAATGGACTTAGCTACTCCTTTATACACCCTTGAAAAATAGCAAACAAAATTCCAGCATTGTGTAGTTGAAAGCTTATTGTGAGACCTTAGGCCTTGCTTAGTCTCACTTTCCTCATCTACAAAAATATACATAATTACAGTTGCCCTGTCTGTTACACAAGAGCATCCTGAAGATAAAAAGTGGAATATTTGTGTGAATATTTAGAAAAGAGGAAGCATTATAAAAATGAAATAACATATTAAATACCATAATAGCAATATACCTCTAAAACAACTGTAAAGCCAAACAACCCTCCAACACTAAAGTATAGTCAGAGCTAAATTACTTATTACAGAAATACCAAGAAATTCTCACCAATGGAGAATCACTCAGTATTAATTTACTGGTTCTTGTAGTATATCCATATATAAAATACATTGGGATCCAATGTGTTTTAGAATTCAGAATTGTTTAGATTTTAGAAATACAGTACATACACTATATATTATGAAATTCCCCACCAGAGTGTGAGGCAACACCCTGCAGTCAAATACATTAATGATTCTGCAGCAAAATGTAAGAATATTCATACAAAGCAGAATTCTTAAAAAAAAAAAAAAAGCCACTACAAATACCTATTATATTCTTACATCAGGTCAGGTCGTGTTTTGCTAACAAATTACCTTGCACCAAACATGAGAAAACGTTACCGTTTTTGGAGCTTTCTGGATTTCAGAACTGCATATAAAAGATTGTGAAGCTGTACTAGAAAAATATTTGCCAGTCAATTTCGAATACTTTCATGAACATTTTAAGGGTACAATTTGTTTCTTAATGTATTTTACACAAATGAAAACAAAGAATGCCTAATAAGTTTGATAATGTTCCTAAAATATATTCTCTGTCTGATATTATAGGTTAACAGGTAAGTTTTACTTTTAGGTTAGTCGAAAAGGACAAAAACATAATAGTTTCAAAAATTGTAACATTCCATAAAATAAACTTTAGATAAATATACTATTTATTGCCCTCAAAGTAGCTAAAAGCTATTTTGATAGTTCCATCAAAACAACAATATACACTGGCTCTAAACTAAGAAAATTTTCTCTCAAAAAATCTTTTAGAAAGACATTTATAAAGGCATAATACTTACTGGACATAATAACTGAGGATTCACTAAGCAGTTGGTTAAACCAGAAAAGAGAAAGGAATTAAGAAGGAAATAATGGGGAGGGCTTTTTATGCCATTTATAGTAAAATCCAATCAGACCAACTTCAACAAGTTGGAGAACTAGGAAAGGAAAGAATTTAGATGAATGGGATGAAAACACAACCAGTAAACTGTTCCCAACCCTGTCCCCTAATAAAGAACTTTTTACCTTTAATGATTTTGCCCCTTTTTTGTCACCCGCAAACATGGATTTCTCATCAAAGTGCATAGGAAAGGACCTGATAAAAATGACAGTTACATGTTACAGATGAAAAATCCAAGTACTTTGTATTAGAAATCTGATAGAATTTTCTATCCCTACAAATATTTAAAATTCATTATTTACTCATATGTAAGGTTTAGTAGGAAGGTGACAAACAGTTCACATATAAACTATTTAATAAAAGACTAAAGCAATATACAGATGGTTTTGTAATTTATAAAATTGTAATGTTTTAAAGAAATTGCGTGATAAAAAATAAAAAATTTAAAAAATGCTAGAGCAAGCAGAGACAAAAAAAGAAATAGAAATTACATGATAGATAAAATAATCTAAACATTTAACTGAAAACAACCTATGTGAAAAATAGGCAACTCTCTTAAGAGGCTTTTAAAATTTAATACATAATGTAAACACTTCTTAATCTAATTTTTCCTCCATGCTCATTTTAACAACCACTAAACTCAAGTTTTATAGACCAAGCATTATTTTAAAAAGGTTATATTCTAGAAGGTAAGGCTAATGTTCCCTTACATATTCATCTCAATGTTAACATAATATCATCTAAATTTAAATTTTGTAACTGGAATATATAATTGAACATGAAGTAATATTGAATTTTCATACTACATAAAATTTAGTGGTATTTTAAAATATAGTCTATTCTCAAGTGTGAAAGTTTCTGCAACAAAACTCTACAGATGCTTTTTAGTTGACATTTTAAGAAATATTTTTAAGTACTTAATTTCTGTTAATCATTTTTCTTCTTAGTTTTAATTCTCCCTTTTCCTAACTTTTAGGAGTCAG